TCTCCCGCTGCAGGTTCGGAGTGCCGGAGCTGGCGCGGCTGTGCGGGCAGGCGCTGGGCCCAGAGGGTGGCCGGCAGGTGCCGCGGGGCGACGAGGACTGCGAGAGCCGCGCCGAGGCCTTCCAGGAGCTCCTGAGGGCCATGTGGGCCGGGGAGGAGGCGCCGGCGGCCGCGGCGCCGAAGTCCGAGACCTGCGGAGGAGACGGCGCGGGGGTGGAGGAGGCAGAAATGGAGGAAGTTTACGCGCTGGCGGCCACTCAGCGGAAGCTGCTCCGGCCGGGAGGCGCCGCCCTCGAGGAGCAGAGCGGGCCGCTGGCAGCCGGCCCGGGAGGTGTCCGGGCCCCACCGACGAGCTCGCCTGGGCTGGCCGCAGCTGCGGGGAGCAGCGCGAAACCCTCGGGCCCGCTGCTCGGGGGCCGGTGCTCAGGCAGGGAGGAGGCAGAAGACACCCCTCGGGGAGCACCTCGTCCTCCCAGCCCCGCCGGCTCCCCTGGGGGCTGCCGGGCGGAGAAGGAAGCGGGCTCCTTTCTGTTCTCGGTCGACACGGACGACGAACAGCCCTTTTTATTGACTCAAGGGGGAAGCCTCCAGACACCCCGAATTTCCAGTTCTGGAGAGGAAGGGAGCCGCACTGGGGGGGACAGGGGCTTGGGGGATTCCCCCACCCCACCGTGTCCCCACCTCCCTCAAGGCGGACGTCCCCACCCGGCACAGCCTAGGCCTCACCCCGCGGACACCTCGGCCCCGCCGCTACCCCAGTCGCCACAGACACCGCGCAGAGCCGCCGAGCTGAGCCCCCAGGACTCGCCGGCACAGCGGAGGAGGGGCGGGCACGGCCCCTCGTCACCTGGCGACCCCGGCCGCCAGCAGGGCCAGCAGCAGGCTTCTCTGTTGGGGCTCAGAGACGCAGGGGTCCCGACTCCGCCCCAGAGGTCCCTGTCTATTGACCTGACCCAGCCCCAGCCTGACCCCCCCGCCTGCGGGGGTGCGGGGGGCGAGGTCATCCTCCTCCTGGACTCGGACGAGGAGCTGGAGCTGCAGCAAGCCAGTGTCGAACCCCCGCCTCACAGCCCCGCCGACGAAAGGAAAGTTCTGGAAGTCAGCGCCAGGTCCTGTGAGCTGTTCCCCATCATCGACGTGGACGCGGACCAGGAGGCCTCCCGGAGCCCGCCCCCGAGGG